AACGGCTTTGCCTTGCTCATCCGTAAATATGTATAAGTTGACCCCTGTGATGCTTTGAACGCTCTTCTGCCTCCATCAAAACATTACGTATTTCGTCAATTGCATAAGCGTTGTTGTCTGAAAACGGAAACCACAAAAACGCACTTTTGTACGATCACACGCAATACAAACGTGGTCACGTGCTTCGATAACCTCTTCTGACCTCACTCGTGCTTACTGCGGCCACTCACGAGCTTCACGTGCTAACTCTGGTATAAAAACATTTCATACCGCCTTCGGAATTTATCATGTGCGAGAGCTGTTCAAAGGGAGACCCCAGTACAACCGTGATTGGTAATTATTCACTAACCTGAGGCAACGACGATCTATTAGAAGAGGACATTTCTTTGCGAGTGTGTTCCACTTGACCCTTATCATTGCTTACTCAATCTATCTTTGTTATTTTCATTCCTTCGCCAGACAATCCGCGTAAATTGGCTTTTGGGAATCTAGGCAACTGCACTCCCCACTTACACAGGCTCCAAAGTCCAGCCAGCCAGCGAAGACGGCTTCCTCGCCAGTGAGTCAGACATAGAGATGTGACTTTGCTTCGTTGCATATCTGACTTAGGAACGCAGACTTTGAGTACAATAGCTTGTCTCGGTAGATGTGTGGAACGAAAAATGCCTCAGAGAAACTTCACATGGTACCCTACCACCCTACTAACCTATTACTACTTGAACTATACACGCCTTCATTTAGTGCTGCTCTTCACACCTAGTGGTATCAGTAGAGCCATATCAGTGCCCGTTAACCACCCTTTCTCTTCTTCAGATAACTGCTGGTCCAATGTCTAGATGCTGGGCGCCCTTTCTTCCTACGTTTCGCTTTTGCTGCCCTCTGCACTACGTGAAACGCATCAGCGGCACCAGCAAGCGTGTATTAACACCTCAAGATGGAGGAGCTAAAACTCTACCTGTCTTATATTAACATACTAAAAGTTACTGTACCAGATCTTCAAGGATTTCTTGGAAATCTTGAGCTGAACTCAATCGATTGAGATGCTGTCCCGGGCCTTACGACGGCAAGGTCACTGTAAGTTTCCATATTCGCGCACGCTGTAGGCTAACTCTTTATGTGTGTACTTTATTCTGCCAGTTTGGTGATGGTACTGGAGGTTCCAGATACATCTCTTCCAAATATCACTATTGTCACAACCATTTTATTTCCCATTTTGAATCCGCTTAATGATGATAACAAGTCTGCCTCGGTAAATTTGGGCAAATGCGTTTTCCGTTCGTACACTCCCCTGAATGTCTCAATTCCCAACTCTCAGGTGCGATGTGACCAGGCAAGGATATAAACGAAAATGGCGTAGGATTTGGGAGCTGCGCCTCAGGCCAAATTTCACCCCGCCTATCCTGGTGACCAATAGCTGCGTTGGATACAGTTTGAGGTGATTGCTGGGTTCTCAGTTTTGGTGCACATTGGATGCACGGGCATAATGCTTTCAATAAACGTGTTGAGGAATATTCTGAAGGGACATAGATAACAGCGCATACGTGAGTCGTGCCAGTGGTCGTCAGCGCCGAAAATAGGTATTCAGTTATCATCTTGATGGTTCAGTTTGTGAGAGCGGTTGATGAAATGGGATGTTGTAGTAGGATCTAACCGCCAAGAGCATATGGAACACATGGATTTCCATCGAATAATATACCCAGCACCAGAAGCTGCGTAGTTTAGTCCATGTATTGCGCATACCCATCGTTCGCCGAAGTGCTGTTTATATGGAACACATGGATTTCCATCGAATAATATACCCAGCACCAGAAGCTGCGTAGTTTAGTCCATGTATTGCGCATACCCATCGTTCGCCGAAGAAAGTGCTGTTTTCGCGTGCCCAATTCAGGTTGGTGGAAGCAAAGAGGTGATCAACCCTTGACCTGGCAGGGAGATATGGAAGAGATTCTGAAACATTTGGATGCTGTCAGTGCTATTCACCTTCCAGGATGAGAACCGCGTGATCCCCACTGCGCCTGGTTGGTGACTGCAAGATATGACTGCTTATCGATGCCAATGGCATTCTTGTTGTCTTGTTCTATCCAGACTGTCTGAAATGGGTGCTTTGAGGTGTAGGCACCTTCGAATAATTGTAGCAAGCTAACACTAACTCCCTTCCCGGTTTACTTTTATTCTTTTCTCCACAATTAGGCTTTCAAATGAACCACGGTTGTACGGCAGCGAAACATCATTGTTGAACACTGATGTCATGCTGTTAATGATGATTATGTGAAACGTGAATAGGGTGCCGCGAATAAAAGTTCGGTACCTCACACTGATTTGACACAGTGCTATCACGCAAAACGATTCTAAGTATCGGAACGCGGTATCGATTGAGTCGCGGTTGTTGATATTGATTCAGGGACACTGGACGACTACGGGACTCGCAAATAACCGATGGGATGCATCAACTCGGTGGTACTTCTGTTTTAACCCCTTGGAATCACAAAGGATTCGTTAGCGTGTGGGTAGCGAGATGTAATGTAATTTTCCACACATCACGCAAAGTATTTCGTGCAGCTCAAATAGGTGTTTAGATGTAATAACACAGAAATAGGAGCCGCGCTAAAGGGAAGCGGTTTACAACCTCTACAGATCTCTACCTAGGGCACTGACATTGATGTGGCGCTCGGTATTGGGATAGTCGATGATTCGAGAGTGAAAAACACGGACTCCGTGTAAGTAGACGGTTATTTATCAGAAGGGGTCAAACAACTGCAGGCATCGCAGCGCCAATCTGAGGCGGCGACGGAAGTTAGCGAAAAAGGTTTCAGTGGGTTGGTGCGACGGAACCTTGAGTGCCTTTGAGACCGATTATTATTATTGTTATTATTATTATTATTATTATTATTATTATTAGTGTTGTGTTGAAATAACTTAAATGTTCGGTTTTATGGAGCTGGTGTAGAGTCAGGAAGAATAACACGATAGGCCGAATGGGGAATTCAGTATTAATCAGGATGAGGCGGGCGGATGCACACGTTTGAATAGGCTTCAACTAGCACATGTGGTGCTCAAGGCCAGACACATAGTGTTGGGTTAGGTTCACCAGTGACTCGGGCACCAAAGGACACAGATTATCCGGTCATGAAGCTGTCGCCTTGTCGTGGTGGTCGGGATTCTGTGCTGCAATGATCCTGCGGGCCATACTGGCTAGGACCATGTCAAGAAGACTAACGGCGAGAAGCCCGACGTAGAACAGCGAGTTCGCGTTCTGCTAGTAATCGTATTACTAGACGGTCTGGAGGTGAAGTCTTCTGCAATAGTGTTGTATCGTGCGGTGGGTGGCCGTATATTGGGGTTACGCCTGCACTGAGCGTGCCAGACTATGCGATAGGGAGAAGGCAGAGAACTGGGGACACGGCTGTATTTCCAGGGCAAAACATACAGAGCGTCTGCGTAAATATATAGGATGACTAATTGGCCAAATATGGTCGTTCACTTGTTCGTTCTGTACAGCCAATGGTGGTGTTCCGGTCGTGAACGGTCTCAGACTCACTACACTGATCGTGTGTTGCTAAGCCGTGTTTGGTGAGAGCCGCCAACTCACCTACTTTCCGGACGTGTCGTACCGATGGTGACCTTGGGGATGCGTCACTCTCTGTACATGTGCTTTTCTGTCTGGGCGCGCCCTGACAGATAGCATTGTGAGGGCAATAAGGCGTTTTTCCTAGGTGACCAGCATGTCCATTTTCACGGAAGCAGTGATGCTGTATTCCCTCGAGGAGGGACGGGTTGGAAAAGGTCGGCCTCAAAAACCTTACACTCCCATCACTCAATGGTTGATCGTGACCATCGACGGATTATTCAGTGCGGTCGATATACTTCTAGAACCGGAGTCGCGGGCTGCTCAAAAGCCACCTCCTTGCGTGCAACTGCAATAGGAGTGAGACGGTAATGCCTTACTCTCTGCGCTCTCGGACCAGGCCGGCTCCTTGTAACCTTGTGGACTATTGAGTCATCAGCTTCGAGCAGGGTCCCCCAAGAACCGATGTCTTGCGGTCGAGACTCCTGAGTCAGGGGCTAGGGGAAGGGTCCTCGAACAAAACCCTACATCCTCGTGAATCCAACGTGAGTCAAAGGCTCGAAGTGGAGTACCTTAACCAAACCCCCTTCTTCGGCCTTGGTAACCTGGAGATATCTTTTCCCTTTACAGCCATTCGCTTTCCAGCCTTCTCCTACACTCCGTTCTCTTCCATCGTACGATACAGTGCAGTCAACCCAATCTCCTAGCCACTATTCCGTGATTAAACCGCCTAGAGTAATAAACCAAAATGATCACTTACTATCCTCAAAAGATCTGGTCCACATTGCATCCTCAAATATCCATACTCTATATCGAACTTGGCAGCAGGCATCCCGTGCTAAAACCTTGATTTCCCTCCCCGTCAATGCATGTTGTATCTCCAACACAAGCATACATGACCCCACTTCGGTCGTGCAACTCAAGCCGCTTAGGACGAGCTCAGGTGTTCCACATTTCAATCTTCGGGTATCCGGTCATCCTTTACGCAATGGCTTGTGGTATCTGCGATGTAGGATGTGCGTTCAGCCCCAAGGATAGAACAGCTTTCATCGTTATCTTCATCATTGTCAGCGTACTTGTCGTACAGTGGTTGTAGCTGCCACAGTTTTGTTCACCGACAATTCTTGTCAGTCTCCTCATTACGACAGCAGCACCGCGGTCCACTTAGAACCAATCCCCGCTTGGAGTTTGCGCGAGACCGAGGATAGCATTTCGTCGGTGAAGCATCGTCTCTGCTGATGGTTCTCTTCCGAAATGTGTTTTCAGTGTTCACCGAAGGGTAGTTAGGTCGTCCCTTCTTGGCAAAATACTGAAGTAAAAGATAGAGTAATGCTAATTGGTATTCGTGCTCCACTGATCAGAATTGCTACAAACGTGTGCGCTCCCATCCACCGTAATTCTGTCGATGTAGAGAGAAGTGTTGTTCAATACGCGGATGTATGTGGACGAGTTTGCCGAATATTCCGTGTATGCAAGTAAGCGAATTCCGATGGACATGTGTTGCGTGTGCCGAACTATCATTTGCCGAAGAGAGTGCTGTTTTCCATGCCCAATTCGGAGTGGCGTAAACAGAGAGGTGGCCAACCCTTGACTTGGCGGAGGAGTATGAAGGACGCTTGGGTGCTGTCGGTGCTACTCGCCTTCCAGGATGGGGACCGCGTGATCCTCACTGTGGCTGGTTGGAGACACTACAAGATATGACTGCCAACCGATGTCAGTAGCGTTCTTGTTGTGAGTTTCTATCCAGATTGCCTGAATGAATGTCTGGAGGTGTAGGCACCTCGGAATGATTGTGTTAAGCCAGCACTAGGTCCCTCCCCCATCCACCTTTATCCTTTTCTTTACAATAAGGCTTTCAAATAAGTCATGGTTGTACGGTAGTGAAGCATCGGTGTTGAACGTTGACGTCATGCTGTCGATGGTGATGTGGGAAAATGGGTTAGATAGCTGCGCATTGGAGGCGAGAGCTGAGGTGTGTGGATACAGCACTGTCTGTGGGCTTTCAAGTAGAGCGATTGGGAAAGGAGCCATGCATTGAAGGCAATAGTCGGATGTCCTCGAGATTAGCAGGTTTTATTGCTGACAGAGAGGCCATACCAGTAGCTAGCGACTGTGATGACGCACGCAGATCCATCAAACACCGAGTAATCACTGGTTTGAAGAATAACAACGTTTGATTTCGAAGTTCCAGGGGGTGGTGAAGGCTTTCGCTGTAGGCAACAGCCGCGCCATGTTTTAACTGATCCGATCGACAGGCCAAAAGAAGGCAGGTATCAGTGAGACAATATGCGAAACAGACGGAACAGCAATTCACCCCCTCAATCATTGAGCGGTGGGGTGAACAGTTCAGCTGGTCTCCTTCAACACAACTGCTGGAAGAACCAAGTGAGCCGGAATGCAACACTGACACCAACTCGCCATCAGCAACCGAAATCCAGCGTGAGATTATAATTCTGGTCCGGATGGCCTGCACTCTACACTCTTCAAAGAAGGTGGCGAGACCCTGGTGAACAATGTGCCAACCACACTGCTCCTTCTGGACTATATTGCCGGGCTTAGGTGTTCAAATCACCCTTCAAGACGCTTATATCCAATCTTGCTGTAACACCCTTCCGGTGCCTAGCTGCCACGCCACTCGAAAGAAGCGCGAGGGCTGGGATACTGCCAGGTTGCCCAAGCATAGCCAGGGGAAGTTGAGATGCAGAGGTCGGGTTTGAACCACGGACCTTCTGGTTAGTAAATTTGTACTCTTACCACTTGGGCCATCTCGCCCCACACCGAAGATACTACGAACCATTGCGCCAGGATAACCGGATACCCGAAGATTGAAATGTGGGACATTTGAGCTCGTCTTAAGCGGTTTGAGGTGCATGACTGAATTGGGGTCATGTATGCTTGTTTTGGATACAACGTGCATTGACGGGGTGGGATGTCTGTTGCTCAGTGTGACAGAGTACGGCAAACGAACGTCGTACTTTGGATCAGGTCTCTGAAGTAAGCGATTATTTTGGTTTATTTTACTGAGCGATAGTCTACACATGGATCAATGATGATGGGGCTGAAGGATGAGTTGATCGCTGTGCACGTCCGGTGCGTGTGTGGGTGAATGAGGGCTGATGGACGAAGAGCTGCGAGAATGAATGATACTTTTGGGACGCCCAGGCCGAAGAAGAGGGCCCGTTGGTCTAGT